GAGAGAAGGGGGAGAAGAGAGAGGCGAGCCACTCTCGCGATTTGATCCACTATACGTGCACACGTACATAACAAATACGTACGAGTACACGGGTGTATGTGCGTGTGTGTGTGAGCGTGTGTGTATTCGTGTGTGCGAAGAGCGCTTGCACACCTTCTCGCACGGTAACAGGCAGGCTATCGTGGTTATTAAGGAAACAGACGAAGGAACGAAACGAAGGAACAAGCGCGTTGGGTGGTCTCGCCCCGCTGTTTATGGGGCACTGCATCTGCTGGCCCCGTATAACCCTCTGCGAGCGAGCGAGCGAGCGCGACCTGTGTGGTCCCACCTTACGTCCGACTTTACATTCGATTCACTACTTGCTAATGGTAGCCGCATTAGCATTAGGTGCCCGCCGTCTGTCTTTCTCATATGATATGCCGCGACGAACGAAATCTGCTGTTGTGCAATTTTTCGTCGCTGGCGACGAGTACCGAGGCCGGCCGGTCGCTCGGCAGATTGCCGTCGCCCGCTTGCGCTACGCGATCGAGATCGAAATCGAGATCGGGATCGAGGTCGAACGGCGGCTCTCGTGTCCGCGCTCTCCACGCCGCGTTTGACGAATTTCGAAGCGAACGAGCATTAGATTAATGCGAGAGATTTGTCTCGTAACATAGAAGATAAAAGTGCGCGATCTCGAAGCATTAATACGAATTCCTAATTAATGGTTTCGATGTGTCTTTAGCTCAATTTATAATTCACGATAGAATTCAAGATAGAATTTTACTTACGATTTCACGTGGCGTGTAACATTTTACATGTGTGTTCTAATTTTTTGAATACCTTTTATTGCGCAAGAAATTATAAATGTTATACATTTTTTCATTTCGAATTCCGTCGCGAATTATAAAATGCTTTTGAAATCAGATTTTTAAAAGGAAAGAAACTACGGAAAAGTATTAAACAGTTGTTGTTAATCGCGAAACAAGAGAAAAGGATCGTCACGTTCAAGAGCTGGCTTAATTATACGAGATAACTGCTCCTAACGATAATTATATCCCCTTTATAGAATCGTATAAACGCGGATCTCTCCCAATATATCTTCATTCATTCGGAGAATGCAAACGAGCGTTTTAACCGGGGTTTCGCCGTTGCGTGTGTGGGTAGCGCGTGGTAAAGCCGTGCGTCCGGTGGATGCGTGCAGCGTGGTGAACGAGGGGCCGATATGACCGTGTTAGCGATTGGTCACGGGTGTGGGTGCGCCATATGTGCGACCGTTTCAAGCAGGCTACCTGTCTTTAGGGTCGTAACGCCGGATCGCCTTTTGACGAGCGATAATGATTTCGAGGATCGAGCACCCTCGTTAAACGAACATCGAGATTCGTAATGCGCACTCCGAAGCGAATATCGACAGAATTTTGTGACGCACAAGTTTGTGATGTTTGTATTACTATTTTTTATGCGAATCGAAGACAATTATGATTTGACTTGATTTTTTTACTTGCAACAAAATCTTTTTTTTCGATTTAACCGATTTGTTTTAATTTTATTCTGACGATTATTTTTGAATATTTCTGCCTCGATATTGAACTGGATGATGCACATTTAAAAGATTCCTTGTTTTTCTACAAAAAGAAAGTTAAATTTTATTTTCTAAGGTTAAACAAATACATAACTTTGTTACTGTTTGAATCTTAAAATAATATACATACACATGCATAAATATCGGTGTTTCCGGCGGAATAAATTGACAAATAAAAATTTATACTCGCAATTCCTAAGTAAAAATCAGTCTCTATAATCAATCGCTGTACCCACTGAAGAATGATTATTTCAAGCGTTGAAAAGATAGTATTAACAACAACGACAGTGATAATGATTGCCCGGCGAGTTGAGAAAGCTCATTCTCGATCCGTCTCGCGCGCACCGTCGCAAAAAACCATCGATAATTCAGAAGGTCGAATCTATCGCCCGGATCCGGCCGGACGGCGTCATGGCCGGCGTCATCGCCGCCGCTGCCGCCTGCGGGGTGAAAAATACTTGCGCGGCCAAGCATGCCGTGCGCACTACTCCGTTCGATCGGCCGACGGAGAGAAGACATCGATCTCGCCATTGATCGATCGGTCGGCCGGAGCCTCAGATAAGATACTGTCGTCGTTCTGGTGCTGTCCTACTCATCGTCTGCCGTCAGACGGACCACACGCGTATCTTGTCGCCTTTCCCTCGTCCTTTCGCAACAGACAACCGCGTGTCCTAAGTTTTAGTCGCGACACTTTATCGCCGTGTCGCTCGATATATTCGTACTTTCTCCACGCCTAGCGTCCAATTTCCGTCTTCTTTTAAAACGCGGAAAATATCGCGGAGTTGCGACTGAACAGCGCTTGCTCATAAAAGAAGAAACGAGCGATTCGCTGCTTGATTGAACGCCGCACGATCCCGATCTATTAACTCTCGTAACGCTGCGATACTCCCAGATTTCTTCGCAATGCATATTCGTCGCGCGAGGTCAAAGCACAAGCGCGAGCGCGCGCCTCGTTTCTCATCGCGTCGCGATGGTGTCCACGGAATTGATTCTCGGAATAAGAGGCGTTTGCGTTAAAGCATTAAGATGAAAATTTCGGTCGCCACAGCGCGCGCCGAGCGTCGCCTTCGAGGAACGAGGACAAGAGACAACTTGTGACTTCTTCGGCGGGGAAGGAGGAGAGAAAGACGGGCAGGGCGGGGCGAGGGGAAATTCCCCTCTGCAGCAGCGAGAGAGGGCCACCCACGTCGAGGGCGCAAAGGCGATATTTAGCGGAAGGCAAATCTCTCTCGGGACCACCCACGTCGGCTCCTCGTCGCCGGAGTCTGGGCTACCTTATTTCAGGGTGCGCACACCGCGTGTCGTTGTGTGCGGGTCCCGCAGCACGAAAAAGAAACCGAGCGGCCCTCTAAGCGTACAGATATATACATATCGGTCCTCTCGAATGTCAGCACGATTTGCGGACGATTTCCGATTAGCTCGCTTTACGGTTTTCTCGTTTCCCGCCGCGCGGGACATTCGTCTCGCTGCAGCCGGCGGGCTGGAAGGAATCCCTGAAGATCCCGCTGAAACCCGCGCTCCGCAAAACTCGACACTTGTGCCGCGTCAAGCGGTAGAATAGGTTTAATACAGCGTCGC